ATTGCTCCTCTGTTCAGTTCACTGACCACCAGGGTCCCCAGGACTTTCAATTAAGAAAAATACTAAGTTTTCAATTGCAGAATTTGCTCTGCAACCTCCAAGTTGAGTGCAGAATAATTCCATTTAGAGTTGCCTCTCAATATTTGCTCATTTTTCTACTTCCCAAAAAGCAGGAATTGATGTTATTTCCTTGAAAAGCAATTACTCAACAGCTGCATGCTAGACATTGCTTTACCCTAGTGTTGACCACTTTTCCCCTAATAGTAAAACCTGAAAGAAATTGTTCAGTTTAGACTCAACCAGACACTGGAGCCAGAAAGCACTGAGAATTTGCTCCTTCAGAAAAATAAACCAATTTTATGTTCTTTATTTGGGCTATGTTAGCATCATTTATAGCAAAATTTATAGCAAAAATTATAGCATCATTTTAAAGCAAAACTAGGAATGCTTGGCTAATTGGCATTTTAAAAGAGCAGCTGAAATCATTCCCTAACCCATCTTTAATTCAAGTATAAATGGAATACTAGATTATATTTTTCTTCTTTGGAAGATTAAAAAATGCACACAAACTGGGCACACTTCCCTGTTCTTTCTAAAGATGAAAAAATTAGCTGAAATCTAAATCTGTTTGGCTTATGTCGATATTTTGAATAAGCATATTCTACTTGAACTCACAAACTTATAGCAAGCTACTCACTCATCCTACTCAGAAACAAAGGAGAAAATTGTGTATCGTGAATGAGTATCTATCAGGTCAGGACTGTGTCAGGAGACGGTGATAGGATATATGTTACTAATGTTTACGGTGTCCTAATATTTCACAAAAATAAATACAAACCTCTTTGTTGGTTCACTGTTTGTCAGAAATGTTTCTCATTTGTTACTAAAACGTATTTTAGTTGGACACCAAGAGCAAAACCAGAATTCTTTCTAATGAACAAAACATTCCCAGCATTTAGAAAAATGATTTTTTAAATCTGGTTTACATTTTTACTATAACTTATGCATAAGGCCTTGTTTATGACTTACTGACACTTTTTGGGGGGGGTACAGACTTCTGGAATGTACGATATAGATGCAGTTCAAGCCATGGCCTTCGATGGTTGCTACCATGACAGCGAGACTGACATAGACCAGACTTCCTTTTCTCTACACTCTGAAGAAGGCTCCATGAGAGGAAGATCCACAGGCAGCCCCTGCACAGAATCCTCTCAGATAAAGAGAAGAAAATCCCTGGGAGGAAACATTGGGAGAATCATCCTAGAAAACAACCATGACATTGACATGTATTGTAGAGTTTTATTTCCCACTGTGTATATAATATTTAATTTGTTTTACTGGGGGATATATGTATAAAGAAGATCTTTTACCCTAATATTCTTTTCATTGTGTGTGGTGCTTGGGATCAAATTCAGCATTTTGCAGATTCTAGGCAAACATTCTGCTAGCCCTAGCCCAAAGTGGATTTTCTACTGTATAAAATTGTATCAGAGTCATATTATGTTATTTTAAAACTCTTGGATATGAGTTGTAGTATATTATATTAAACTGGGAGAGAACCACTTGTGTCTCCTGGCTTAAAGAAGTTTTGAAAGCTGACTGCTTTACATTTAGGAAAGAGTTCAAAATTTTATGAAGATTAGGTGCCATAAATAAGAGTCACAGGCATTTATGTTCTGGGAAAAATGTTTTTCTACAAGGATGTGCTTCATAACTACTTTATCTGGACTGGGCCCTCTTTTCTTAATGAAAATGTTCTTTATTTAACTAGGTAATTAATTCAAGGATAATTTATTTCATAGTGTCATTCAAGTGCCAGACTACTTCATGGACCATGTCCTCCTATGGGAAGACATCAAAGTGTCAGCACTTTACTGGGAGTCCCAGGAAGAGCCCTTTTCCTATCTCCACTCAGTTCTTTTGTCTGTAATATTTTGTATATTATCTTGAGTCCCAAAGAGGGAAAATAGCTGAACCCCACTCAGTCTGTGGGCCTAATATTTACACTCCAATCAATCATCAATAGCAGCTAGTATTTTGTGGGTAAGATTTAGTTTTCATAGCTTTTTTCAATAATAAATTATTTTAATGATCAAATGTCTATTGTCCAACTGCATATTACAGATGCTTTATTAACCATTATAAACTGAAAAACAAGTATGAAATCACCCAATCCTTCCATCCCTGAGTGCATACCCAAGTAATAGTAAATTGGTTGGTTAACACCCAAGATAACAAATATTAATAGGGAGGTATACCCAACATGATGTATGAGTTCTGAAAAGAGAATATAACAAAAAAAGAAAAGAACAACCACAATGTGGCAGGTAGGAGGTGGACTCTCAAATTACAGACCCAAGATGTGTTTGGATGTTATATTAATGAGTGAAAAAAATGGAATGAAAGCTTTGATCTTCAGTAACTTTGGTTAAACAAGTAAATCAGCTTAAATGGGTATTCAATAAATGTTAGTTGAGTATATAAAGCTCAGATAATTAGTATACACTTTGCAGGTCAGCCCATTGCCTGTTTTTATGTTGGGTATTTTGTGAAATTTTAACCATTTAGAGGAAGGCCCTTGGCGGGAAATATGAAAATTTCACACTCCTTTAATTGCAGAAATTGACTGAAGAGAAATCAATGAAATAGGGCATTACTTCCAATGTAGTTCCTTTTGTTTTACCATAAAGTTATTTAAATTATTTAATGCAGGTGAAGAAAAATATAATTTTCCATTTAATAGTAACATGGGTTTTGGTTTTCAGTTGTGAATCTCCTAAGATTCTAAAAAATTATCTCCCTTCTGAGTGCAAAAGATTAAAAGGAAAATTCTTTCTCTATTCTCAATTTCCTCATGAGCAGAATAATTCTGTTTACTTAATTTTCTTTTTACTTAATATGACTTTCTCAAACTTTCCAAGTATTCTATTTTTCTAGGATACTGTCCAAATTTGAGCTAAAGTAATTATTTAACCTTTCTCCATTTAGTTACAGATAGCCTGTAAATATATTTTAATTGTTTATTTAATGACTTGAATGCTTTAATATACGATTATATTTTAAAAATACAACACAGATTAAAATCTTAGGTGGTTGGCAATTTGTAGCTATTATTTGGCAAAGTAATTTAGTTGGATTCTGTTTCTGAATTTCCCAAAGACTATATAATTTATGTAAAAACAAACATGTATATCTACAAACCAATGGGATAAATATGCAAAGTTCCTATCTTCCAGTTGTCTAGTTTTTCACATATTGCTATTTGTCACATAGTTTTAATTATTACATTCAAGATGCCTAAGACATTTTCTGGCTGTATTCATTTCACTATTTTAAGTGAAATGCATCACTGGGTACATCTGCAATCTAGGTAGGGAATGGGCCTCTAGATCACTACACATATACCCAGTATTACTCTTGAGGAATGTTAATGCACAATTATTGGCCAGTCAAATATAACATTTGTTAGTGTCCAGAAATACAAGTGCTGAAATTTTTTTCAAAATGAACATCTAACCTAAGAAATAAAATATATTAAAAAAGAAATAAAAAAGAAAGAAAATATATTTATTGCACCAGAGAATTGTTAAGCGTATTTAGAATGAGCTACAAAAGTATTTTCCAATGTTCTTCTCAAATGGTGGTTTGTGAAGACAGTGCTTTCCCTGTTCCCTTCATTTCTGACAGGGAGCAGCTGACTTTCTGGTTTAGTTTTTGTTTCAAGAAGAATAAAACCTCAGCTACGTAGAAAAGATATCAATGACAGCATAAAATAGTTACCTCATCTTAATTTTAGCCTCATTTACTGATCACAATCCTGAACAGACTGCACGATTGTTCACTGAGGGATAAGCCTGGATAAAACGTAAGGATTTCAAAAATAAGCTGCTTTGTAAGATTAAGAAAAAGCCAGACTGCTTGTAAACTGCCTAAATATAGAAATGAGCTATTTTTTAAAGACTACTTAGAAAAACATATGAAAAGGTATATTTTATCTGGATATTGTTTCTGTGCTAATAAGAAAAAACTACTATTTTTAAAATAAAATTTCACTACCAACTAGTTGACAAAATCCATACAGAATTAAACGGTTTATACTTTACTTATATATTCCACCTACTCATTAGCCACTAAAATACAATGGACATGTGGATCGTGAGTCTTGAACTCTGGGCCTGGGCGCTGTCCCTCAGCTCTTCAGCTCAAGGCTCTACCCCTTGAGCCACAGCACTACTTCCGGCTTTCTGAGTGGTTTATTGGAGATAAGAGTCCCAGGGACCTTCCTGCCCCTGCTGGCTTTGAACCTCGATCCTCAGATCTCAGCCTTCTGAATAGCTAGGATTACATGCGTGAGCCACTGGTGCCAGGCAAGACGATGGACTTTTAGGCAAGTTACCGAACCTCACTGTGCCTGAGATTTCTTATATTACTAGGCTACTAATACCTCAATAATTTTAAGTCATATGTAGAGAAAAGTTGCTTAGATCCTTAATAGATCATACTGAATGTGTGTACTCAAAAATGAAGTGTGCTTCCATGTGCTGTAAAACCTGTCGTACTGGAAGTGTAAGTATATAAACCTATTAACCATCGCACAGGTCCCTCCACACTGCTAAGAACGCATGAATCTGCCCCTGATTTGTCTCCTCACGTCGATCGATCGACATCGCTGCCCACTAGGCTGACCACATGGGAGAGCCAAGTGGGGTATCAGTGCCGTTGGGTCAATCTCCCTTCATAAAATGAGGGGGAATTAACCTTTGCCAAGAGAGAGGGCCTCCTCCAAGGCCCCCTCCCCGACTTAGAGACGAGCCCCAGGCAAAGCAGGATTCCACACTGAAAGCTACAAGCTGCTTCCTCTTGGATTTGCAGTAGGGCTGACTCTGGCGGCGGGGAGGCGAGCACCGACTCCGCCCAGGCCCTCCCGCAATGCCCCGCCCACCAGCCCCTCTCCCCGCCCACCCCGCCCACCGCCCCGCCCACTTAGGCAGTTCGCGGCTGCGCACTACAGGCCGTGCGAGGTGAGTGCGGCGGGCGGCGGACGCGCGGGTGGTCCCCCTCCGCCAAACGCGTCGCTCTTGCAGGATCCACTGGGGCTCGAGTGCAGGACTACGGAGCCCAGACGCTGAAAGGCTCCAGGCCCCGGGGAACCTGAGGGGTGCGGACTCCAGAATCTGGCGGAACCCGCATCTAAACACAGCCGCGAACGTCCGGGTGCCGGATGGCGCACGTGCTGTGCGCAGGGTTCCAACCGGGCCGCGCGCGGGGAATGCTGGGAAGCGGGGCCCTGGCGCGAGCGCGGCCGCCGCGTGGGCTGCAGGGTCTGCACGCGGGCCGGCCCCGCACGGCGTCCTGTCCCCTCCCCGCCGTGCCAGGCATCCTTCCCTCCACCGGCGGACGCGCGGCTCGCCCAGCGAGGCGGTCACACCGCGCTGGTCGCGGTGTGTTGAGGAAGCTCGGGCCCGGCCGCCCAGCCGCCCTGACTTCCCCGGGATGAGCCTGACGTCCGGCTGGCTGAGGCCTTTCGCCGGGCGCCCACCCCGTTTCAGGTCCCCGCGCGGCTCTGCCCCCACCCAGCCCTCCCAGGTCCCCGCGCGGCTCTGTCCCCAGCCTGATCCCTTGTGAGCTCAGGGTCACCGAAGGGTGTGGGCTTGGTTTTTGTGTTTACTACCATGAAACACGGGAAACCCGGCCAGAGGATGCTGCAGGTCGGCCGCGAACCTCTTTGGATGAGGAATGTTCTGTCCACGGAAAAGCAGGCGTTGGTGTTAGCCTGGCTGTTGACGGCAGTGCACGACTTCTGTTCCAGTACTTAGTAGGGGGTTAGTCACCTCGGTCTGGGTTTCTGCCCCTCCTCCACACAGGGACAGTCCCGAGGGCCCAAGGTGCGTCTAGAAACTGACCTGTTAACAAGGCTTGCTTGTTACACGGTGGATGTCGTTCTGTCAAAACTGCTCGGGTGTAAAGACACACTTCCCTGCCCACGGCAGAAATAACATATATATATATATATATGTGTGTGTGTGTTTATGTATATATACATATATATGTATATATCTGTCAGCTCTTACCATGTTGAGGCGTCCATCAGAATCCATTTGTCTTCCCCAAAACTTCCTTTGAGAATTTCTCTAAACATGTTTAACGCTTGTTTGTAGGCAAAGACGAAAAAGTGAAAACAGTCATTGGGCACGTATCTCTCGAGGAACTTCTGTGTAGCATGCTATGCTAGATTCTGACAATGTACCTTTAAGGAGCTGTTTCTGGACACAATGTGCCTGTGCCACATTCCTATAACCCTATCTATTCTGGAGACTGAGATCTAAGCATCTAAGAAGCCAGCCTAGGTAGACAGATCCCAGAAACTCTTCCCTCCAGTTAACCAAGCATAAAGCTAGAAGTGCAGGTGTGGCCCAGGTCCCTTGAGCAAAAGAGCTAAGCAGTAATGTGATGCTCTGACATTAAGCCCCAGGACCTTCACAAAAGAAAAAAAAAAAACTGTTGTTACTATTTATTAAATGTGATTAGGAAAGGAGTCCTTAAAAATGTAAATACTACTTCTTTGGGGTTTTTTTTTGTTGTTTTTTTGTTTTTGTTTTTGTTTTGCAGTCCTGGTGCTTGAACTCGGGGCCTGGGCACTATCCTTCAGCTTCTTTTGCTCAAGGCTAGCACTCTACCACTTGAGCTGGCTTTTTCTGTTTATGTGGTACTAAAGAATTGAACCCAGAGCTTCATGCATGCTAGGCAAACATTCTACCACTTGTAAGGTATATTAAATGGGTAGGTTTCATTAGGTAGCTGATGAAAAGAACACCACACAGTATTCAGGCAGGAAAAGCTTACTTAGCAAACTGCTGCCCCACCGTGAATGGCCAAAACACGGGAGACCCACCCCTGGCCAGGATTTTTCTGGGAGTGTAAATACTATTTCTTAGCTATAGTACAGACATCAGTTTTGATTTGTGAGATGGTTACTAAAGTATGAACTAAAATTTTCGTTTTGTCATTTTACATTTTACTGTTTTTAAGGCCAGTTAATATAGAAAATAACTACTTTTCTAAAGCTGACTGCCCCATCTCCATGCTTTATAGAAATATTTATTCTTCTATCTCAGTGGTTCCGGAGGCCTGTATCTGCAAGTTTGTGTAGGATAAACTATTTTAAACAAAGTATTCTGGTGTAATTAGTACATTTCTTGAATTCCAAGACATGCAATGTATATTATGTCTGAGACCATGAAATAATTTAGGATTTTTGTATGGTTCATTTGTTTATATCATCTATCCTCCTCTCAGCCTGACGAAGGCTGTTAAAGGAGTGGGACAATCAGAACGTAGTGACATCTGTCCAGTAACCTGTAAGGTAGTTTTAAACTCATCTTCAAATTATTTCAGTATGAACATAGAGAAACAATAAGTGATGTAACTTCTGGCAGGACCGTAGTGAAATTTATATTCTGACAAAAGCATTTAGCTATTGTAGTTAGGAAAAATTGTGGAAGTGGTTTTATTTTTGTTAAATATTTTGTATCCTTTGCCCATGTTTTCAGTGAATGTGTATATACTTCATAAGTTATATGTTGTAGTCATAAATATGTTAAATTCATATGTTATGTCTAACGAAGACTTTCATTTGCAGCTTCCTGCTGCTTAGGTGTTTTTTTTAAAGAATCAAACTGACCATTTGTGTGAAATAAGAGATGTATGTCTATGACTGTATCCTTTAGTTTATAGGGTACCTTTATACAGGCCTAGTAAACCAATCTAAATATTAGTTTTAAAATTAAATGTGAGTGATGTATTGGGGTCCCTAAGACTATTCATGGGTTCAGTGACTTATGAGGAGTGGGGACTGCTGGTTTTACCAAAAGGATACTGTAAGCAAAAGGAAAGAGGTACATAGAATGAAATCTTGGGGCTCTCAGGGTCTTTTCCTAGTGGAGTCACATGCATAAACTTTATTGCTTCAGAATCTAGTGGTGTGTAAAGGTAGAAAATGTTGACAACTAGGAAAGTTTATAGAGACTCGATGTGTAGGAGTGTAGGAGTTTGTTGTTGTTGTTATTTTTAGTGTATCACAGCTGGGGCTTGGAATCAAGGCCTGGGCATTGTACCTGTGTTTTTTAGCTCAAGGCTAGCTAGCATTCCACAACTTGAACAACAGCTCACCTTCTGGCTTTTTAGTGGTTAGTTGGAGATAAGAATCTCATGGACTTTCCTGCTGAGGCTGTCTTTGAATCTTGATTCTCAGATCTCAGCCTACTGTGTAGCTAGGATTAAAGGTATGAGCCACCTGTACTCAGGTATGTCTAGGGTTTTTATTGGGGCTGGTCATGTAGGCAGCCCCTGGTTGGCACATACCAGAATTCCTGACCTGTAGAAGAAAAGCAAGTATTCCATATAAACTGACTCATTTGTACAGTTGAATCTTGTTAGTTAATGATGATGAGCATCTTGAAATTGAAATTCCTAGAGGTCAGCCTTGCTATCTCTGTAAAGGGTAGCAGTTATGCAGGCTGTGGTAACATCTGTGTAAGTACTCCATACTGAATCCATTTTCATGTTTCTACATTACTTATATTTCTACATCAGATTAGAATTCCAAGTCCTGACAGTGCATTATCTCACCAAGGCCTGGGAGTGCGTTGGAAATGATGTATCTGATGCTTTATCTTAGATCTGTTGATGTCCATGTCCATGTGATCTCTGTACAAGTTAACATTGAGAAAAATTGCTGTTTTATTTTTTCTTAGTTTTGCCAGTTAAAAACTTAACATCATTTTGATGACTTGGAATATAACTATTTTTAGCCTTAAAATTTGCAGTTCCTTTTTTTTTATTAATAAAGTGGCAATTCATGGGAATTTTTTTGGAGAGATGAGTTTCCAGTGGTTGAGCCAGCAGTGTCTCATTCCAGCCACCAGGTGACACCACTGCCCCCAGGTCCCGGGCCTCCACCTGAGCAACCGCCGAATGTGACTAGTATCTGGCAGCAGATAAGTGTTGGTTGTTATCCACCAATCCATCTAATTTTATATAGTTCCTGGTGCTGATTGCATCCAAATTCAAGATTTTTGGCTTTTCTGTGTCAATGGCTTTAGACTAAAAACATAAGGAGGAATTGCCAAGACAGTTGAATGGTTTAATATGACATAATTGTACCTCTCAATGAATAAATAATGCATTCCAGAATTTAGTATTTGTGTACACAATAAAAACATACTTTCCTTTAGATGAATATGTAATCTGAGTATTGATTATGGCTGAATCTTTTTTTGGAAGAAATGGTGTTAGCGTAAGCCTGATATATTGGGGAACACATTGTTGACTCAGATCACATAAAGGTGGTATGCTGACACATGGTGTAAGATCTACTAACACCAGTCCTGGCATTCCCTGTAACCCTAACTATGTGTGTTCTTTTCTTTTGATAGGTTTGTATCTTCTCTCTGCTTTGTCTTGAAGACCGAGCAATGCCAAAGAAAGCCAAGCTTGCAAGGAAGGAACAGGGACCTGTTCCCTGTAAGCAGGCGAAGGTGGAGGCAGCTTGTACACCTTCCATCTTAAACTTTGCCAACCCCAGTAGTCTCTTTGAAAGTTTAATCTCACCCATCAGGACAGAGACATTTTTCAAGGAATTCTGGGAGCAGAAGCCCCTTCTCATTCAGAGAGATGACCCTACACTGGCCACATATTACCAGTCCCTGTTCAGGCTAACAGATCTGAAGAATCTATGCAGCCAGGGTATATATTATGGAAGAGACGTGAATGTATGCCGGTGTGTCAATGGGAAGAAGAAGGTTTTAAATAAAGATGGCAAAGCACACTTTTTTCAATTGAGAAAAGATTTTGATCAGAAAAGGGCAACAATTCAGTTTCACCAACCACAGAGATTTAAGGTAAACAGGTTTCCCCGTTTTCAGAATTTTTCTCCATACATAGAAAAATGCTAACATTTGGTTTACAGATTAGCTCAAGGGAGAATATATGGAATGATGGTAAGCCTTCTGCTAGTTACAGAATAGCAGCCCTTTATCTTTAAATGCCTTCATTTTAGGAGATTTGCCTTTTGGCTAAGTTGTTAGAATCTCCAGCAAACTGGTGGATATGGCTGGATATTAATGGAGCTATAAAAACTAAATTATGTCACAGGTATATGATGCTGTGAAAATAGCATTACACCTCCAAGAGCATGTTCTATGGGCTGTGCATGTTTTTGTGTGTGATGGAGGTTTGGATGGGATTTTGTCTTTTCATTATACTTTAAGGTATATATCATACCTTAGGTATGATATATATCACCAAGGTGATACTGTTCTTGGATTTTCTTTCCTTTATTGTGTATATCTTTCTAAGTAGAGGCTTTAGAGCCATGATCAGATCCCATAGTAGATGCATGTGTAAGAAAGAGACTCCACCTATACTATATAACAGCTGAACTGGTGAATTGCTGGCATTTGCAACAGCTCCTGGGGAGGCTGTTATAGGTGGTGGATAACTTCAAATTGCCAATCCAGAGCACCAGCTCTGTATGTGTGTGGAGGGTGTGTGTGTGCTAGTACTGGGGCTTGAACTTCACTTTTCTATTCAAGGCTGGCACTCTGCCTACTGCTTCCTTCATTGTCCCTTGTCTTCACTATCTTCATGGTATTGGGCAGCACATAGGAAAGGAAAGGACAGAATTCAGGAGTTTTCTTGAGCCAACAGTGATGAATATTACTTATAGACTGCTTTGTAATTTAAGTAGAATTACAGTTAAATTGTACTGCTCTCCAAAGTCCTAGAGTGGGAGAGGTAATTATTTCATTTTATAAAGAAATTGAAGGCACCTAACTTGTAACTACACCTTGAGCCAGGGTAGTTTGATTCCACATCTCTTGCTAGTAAGCAACAATTGATAGCTTGAGAAACTAGAAACCCAAGAGAAATGGGAAACTACAATTGGTAGCATTTCCAGTAACCTTTAAGGAGGAAACAAACCCACTTTTATCAGCACAAGCCTGATGCTTGTGTTGGGAACCATAAAGTCACCAGTACAATCCTGAAAAGACCTCAGGACATCAGAGAGCGAAGGCTCCGAGTTTTCTAGTAGTTTGTTACCATATAAATATAATTACAGAACCAGGTCCTGTTGGCCTCTCTTCAAAATAAATTAGGCTCCTTGGGAGCTTTGTTAACTCTTCAGAGCTATTCAGAGACCATTAAACTATTTTTCCTGTGTTAAGGAGAACCTTTGAGATCTATAAATTTAAAAAAAAAACAGTAGTTTACATAAAAATGTCTCCCACAGGTTCATGTTGGCCTAGTTCTTTCCTACTTGGTATTCTTAATATCATACCATAGATCCCTTTCAACATAGTATGGAAATTGACTCTCGAGCCTCGGTCATTGGTTTACTCAGCAAATATTTTAGTATGTTGTACTATCTTCTATGGGTGAGGCACTACACATTCATGTATTTAAAACTTTGGGGTTTCTTTAGTGTCTGTTTATTGTTTGTGACTCACCTTTTCTTAAAATATCCTGTTACAGACTGTAGCTGGGCTGGTTGAGTTGAAATCTTGGCTGTACTTAGTACTATGTGTTCTCAAGCTTCAGTTTTGTTATCTGTTAACTGAAACTAATGATAAAACACTTTCTGAAACAGGATTGTTGTGAGAGTTACTGAATTAAAATGTGTACAGCCCTTAGAAGTAATGCCTGGAACACAGGAAGTGCTAATATCTACAGGCCTGTCAGGAAAGTCAGCTCTTGCTCCCCTTCCTCTTTCCTTTCTCTTTTCTTACCCTTTTCTTCTTTCTCCCCTGCCTTCTCTTCTCTCCTTTCTTAGCCTTTCTCTTTCCCTCTATCCTCACTCCTTCCCTCAGATACTTCCTCCTTTCTCTCCCCTCCTCTATTTGTAACCTAGCTTGTCATTTCTTCTCCCAATGCTCTGAATACCCATTTATTGTAGGCAGTTCCCACAGGTAAATTTCCAGCTCTTTACTTCCTGCCAGTACCTCAGAGGTAGTTAAAAAAAACACAACCATATGTGGGGCCTTAGACTCCCAAATTTAACCTGTCTGGGTTAGAACTCTTTACTCCTGAAAGCTTATTTTTTTTTAAATAAGACTGTTGCATCTCAATAAAAGGAATCAAGAGTTAATTGCCTGAGACAAAAATCCAGGCATTTTATTTTGTTTTGTGTCTTCTTTCATTTCTAAACACCTTTAAACTATCAGCCCATCCTTTTGTTGCTGCTTCCAGTGTGTACCTCAACTATCCCCCCCCTCCTTTCACTATCCTGCTTGTTTCTCTCCTAGGTTGTGGTCTCAGTAAATTCCAGACTTGTCTCTCTTGAATTTCAGCTCCACCCAAGAGCTAAAGGAGCTCTTAAAAGGATAAATTGGACCCTTTCATTCTCCTACTTAAAATCCTTTATGACTCCAAGTTGCCTTCCTTGCCTTGTATCTCATTTATCTGCTCATGTGTTTTCAGTGGAGTGAGTCTGCAGTAGAATGGATGATACCTCTGAGGGACCTTTCACTGCTCAGCTTTCTGGACTGTAGTAATTGTGCAATGAGAGCTTCCTAAGTGAATAATAAGAGCCTTTGCTTTCAGATTTCTAATTATTTTTTTATTCCCCACACCCTCCCCCCCCTTTTTTTTTCGAAGGATGAGCTTTGGAGGATCCAGGAGAAGCTGGAATGTTACTTTGGTTCTTTGGTCGGCTCAAATGTGTACATTACCCCTGCAGGCTCTCAGGGCCTGCCTCCCCATTATGATGATGTTGAGGTAAGAAAGGAAGAAATTGCCCAAGGTGGGAAAGTAGGGTTGCTGAGAGCAGCCTGGGCTTTGTAGTTGCCAGGTTCAGTTACATTGCTCGTAAAGGCCCTTGGACCAGCTCTGTGGTGATATTTCTGTGCACTCTCTGGAGATCTTGACCTCATCTAAATGCTGGGCCAAAACAAATCCTTCCAAAGCTTGTTTCCTGTTCTTTCTCAGGGGGAGAGATTATTTCCAACTTATGAGTACAAAGAGTCACACATTGCTTTATAACAGGTATTCATTGAATTGAATTGATCTCTAGAAAAGTGATTTGACTTTTTCTTTCACAAAGTAAAATAAGGTGAGATCACAAATAATCCTTATATCTGCTTTCATTTTGTTCTTTTTCAGTAGCTGCCAAATATATGTATATTTTTTTCCACTTGCAAAATCTTGGGGTAGCTTGAATGAAGGTCATGGTTTCACTTAAGCATTGGCACCTTGACAAGTGCTGATTTCACTCTCATGTGGCTTCCAAAAAGGTTAACTCTTTGGCTGAGGTATTTCGTACATTTATTTTTGTACTAATATAAAGTGTGAACACAGATATTAGTAAAAAGTCCCTTTTTATCCCTTGGAGAACAATTTGATGTAAATATATTGTCCAAGGTTTTTTTTTTTAATATTCTTAATGTAGCATTAAAAATATACTTGGCTGAGTGAAGCAAAAAAAAAAATCTTTGAGTTTTCCTGCCCAAGTCCATTTTAATACTTTAGGTTTTAGGTATTCTGTAATATCTGAAGCTGGGCTTTACTGTCTAAGAGTACAGGCTTTCAGCTGTGTGTAGCTGATAGACGATTAAAATCGTAGGATATAAAGAACTCAGAAATACTCTAATGAAATGGAAAGTATAATATCAGGTATCATGATTATTTTAAAACAAAAACCACACCTATATTTGTGTGGAGAGACACGTAGTTAGCATTTTTTGTTTTTACTTTTTATCTAAACCCTGTAAATTGTCTAAGCACCTGGAAAGCTGATAATATGAAAACATTCCACTCATTAGTTATCATGAAGCCTCCTGACACCCTAGGTCTGCTGTTCTTGGTAGGTTTTCATCCTGCAGCTGGAGGGAGAGAAGCACTGGCGCCTCTACCCACCCACGGTGGTCCTGGCACGAGAGTACAGTGTGGAGGCTGAGACACAGATTGGGAAACCGACACATGAGTTCACTTTGAAGGTATGGGGTGACTATGTGGGCATCTCCCCTGAGGTGGTTATTTCTATTGCTAAGACAAGGTCAAGGTTTAGAGCTTATGTAATGGATCCTATGGGAATATATCCCTAGGACTCAAAGTCGGGTGGCCCTCATTGTAGCTGGCCCAAACAAATAGCTTTTGAGTAGTAGTAGTGGTTTATTCTTGGAGAAAAGAGATGGAAAGAACTAAGTCTATAACCTGTCTTCATATGATCTGAATCAACAGAAATAAATTTAATTTGCTGAAGCAGTAGCTTCTCTAGAGTACAAGTGGAAGGTTTGCCGTTGGGTATATTCTCTGCATCTAAGTTAGCAGTCAGCATGGTGCTGTAAGTTCTTTAGGCATAGCACAACCAGGGATCCCTTAGTGTTTTTGTTGCAGAAATTCCAGTGTGACCCATTTTCCTCCTGATTATGCAGCAGACTATCTCTACAGTTCCCTTATATCTTTCTGCTTACAGATGCTAGAAGAATAGTTATGAAAGTGCTTAAGGATTCCCCCTCCAGGGAGCTGAATAGCTTATCATGTTGGCATCTCCCTGCTTAGAAAAATCTGTCTTGGAGCAGTAAGCCTGGATGAGAAATATAGCCAATCTCCAGCAAGGAGAGGTTCTTGAGGAAAAGGAAAAGAAAAGCAAAAGCAAAAACAACAAAAGAAAGAACTCTAAAACTTTAGGGATGGTTATGGTTTCCTGTTAACCTTTACACCCTTTCTTAGGAAACATCATTTAATTTTTTTTAGTGAAAATGAAACGATTCATTCAGACCATTCAAAGATTATTGCAATAGAATGTATTCCAATGGTACTGTCTGCGTGTATTGTTTTTGTACTTCTTGCATCTTGTGGTTATATTTAATGTCTAGTTTTATCAGTGGCATATATCTCTTTGTCAGTTTAAACATTTTTAACTTGCTTGCTGGTATCAGCATGCCTATATTATAGGGAACATACATAAATAAACATAAGAAAGATAACTTGCCTAATTTTATATGCTTTTGGGACCAAAGTCTGGCCTGCTGCCTGTTTTTCTTCTTTTAAAAATAAATATTGTTTATTGGGTCCCAACCACACACATTGCTTATGTTCTGTCTGTGGCCATATTCACATTACATGGTCAGAGTCTAATAGTTGCCAGAAAGACCTTGTGTCCATAAGCACAAATATTCACTATATATATGGTTCTTCACAGAAAGAGTGTGCCAATGGCTATTCTTGGTGAAGTTTCGTAGTTTTATATATACTCTTAGTTAATTATTTTTAAGGTAAAGGCTAGCTAGGTCTACCTGTGATCTTTTGAGTCCAGGGTTAGGTCAGGCTGACAGTTTGTTTGTCCTGCTTGAAAAGATTGTGTTCATAATAGTCTGGAGGGCATGGATTCTTTGTACTGTTGTTCTGAAACTTGGAGGTAATGGAGCAGAGGTGTGTTAAATACTCTGAGGATTTTTTTATTTTTGGTGCCATTTCTGGAACTTGAACTGAGGGCCTGGATGCTGTCCCTGAACTTTTATGCTCAAGGCTAGTAGCACTCTACCACTTGAGGCACAGCTCCACTTCCAGCTTTTTAGTGGTTAACTGGAGATAAAAGTCTTACAGACTTTCCTATCTGGGGTAGCTTTGAACCTTGATCCTCAGATCATAACTACCTAAGAAGCTAGTATTACAGGTGTGAATGAGCAGTGCCTAGCCAGATGAGGTTTTAATCAGTGGGCCTTTTCAAATGAAATCTTGTGTAAATGTTCAATGTATAAAACAGAAAAATGAGCTGGGCACCCATGGCTCATTCCTGTAATCATAGCTATTCAAGAGGCTGAGATCTGAGGATCACGGTTCAAAGCCAGCCCGGGCAGGAAAGTCTGAGACTCTTATCTCCAGTAAAGTAAACCACTAGAAAACGAGAAGTGGCGTTGTAGCTCAAGCAGTAGCACGCTTACCTTGAGCTGAAGAGCTGAGGGACAGTGCCAAAGCCCAGAGTTCAAGCCCCATGACCGACAAAAAATAAATAGAAAAGTGGAGTCACTGTAAGTGGGAGGAATGGCCTAGAACTGCTATGACAGTCCAGAAGCCCTGATCACTTTACTTTCTGCTGTTCCAGTCCCTGTTTGTGAAGACATCTACCAAACCTGGGGTCTTAGCATACAGAACCTCACCTCCTCCTTATAATGGCTACAGTACTTCCTGCTTAGGAAACTGACAGAGAGTTGGGTTTGAATTCAGTTGCTGTCACTTATCTAATGTCCATGGACAAATTATTCATCTAAGTCTGTTTGAAATGGTGATTACAAGATTTATCTTGGACACTGCAAATATTGAAAGATACTATTTTGATGTCTTTTTTCCCCAGTAAATTCCAACAGATAATCTGTGTTTCTATAAGTTTGTATTACTGTAGTAGGTACATATAGAAGTCTGCACATGTTCACCTTGATGTGGGCAGAACTGTATTCCTACTGATGCTGCCTTTTCCAGCAGTGGCTGAGAGCAGTGATCAAATGTTTGTAGGAGGACCTTACCCAAGAGATGGCAAAGACATGCTCAGTAAATGATTGTTACCATTATCAGTAAAGCATTTATTTACCAGAAATAGTCAGTTTAGTGTCATTTATAGAGAAAACCACCAACATTACAGATGTTACTTAAGAACTTGTGTGTGTGTGTGTGTGTGTGTGTGTGTGTGTGTGTGTGTGTGTGTGTTGTCTCCTGCTTTGAGGAAAATCTTTAAAATTCTTTTTAAATTGGTACACAGGGCTTCTGGTATAAAGCCAGTCTTTATGGTTTCCTGTATTTGTAGGGATGAGTACTTTTTGAGATTCTTTTTCTTCTTAGGTATTGACTATAAAGAAAGTTTTGTTCTAGGTGGCATTAGAGAAGAGGTAGTTCATAGCAGGAGTAACTTGAGAGGGTATACACTTGTTTTGACCTTGTTTTGAGAAGAAAAAAAGGATAAGGTAGAGAATACCTGGCCAAATAATTGTTGTGTAATTTTTCATCCTGTTTGTCATGAGTTAAATCTATAATGTGTATTAGTTACTTTGCTAGGTTTGGCTCTAGAGAGTACAGACAGACCCTTTTTGGAAAGGTAAACAGTTATCAGGGAATGAGAGACCAGCAGGTAGAATAAATAATATAACCATAATAATAAATAATATAACCATACCAGCAGGTAGAATAAATAATATAACCATACACTGAGTTCCCCAACAGCTTGGAAACAGCATCTCCTTAATATGCTAAATAATTGTGGGGATTAGATTATGGCTGTTACCCGATCTAAGTGATGAAGAAATTTAAGACTGGTAGGTAAGTTAGTTGCCCTGCCACCAGCCCATAAATGGCAGGATCTCTATGACTAAAGCTCCTTCTCTCAATCAAGAAGGGAGTAGGATTCCCAGGAATAGTGTGTCCCTGGATCTCAGAAACCAAGAGGGTTGTGTCCATGGCATTTTGGCATTATCATCTCCAAAAAAGTGACTTTAATGGATTGTGATTCATGGAGACAGACTTACAGACATTATAAGCTCAGCATGTAGTCTGTCTATAATAGTAGTAATTTCTTGGATTGAAAGTTGAAATAAATGTTTCTTCCCCTAAAAGCAAAGAGGACTGAGCAGTATGCCTCTTGATAACTCCTCTCCCCCTTTTCTTCTTTCTTTAGCCGGGTGATTTGTTATACTTTCCCAGAGGGACCATCCATCAGGCAGATACTCCTCCAGGGCTGGCCCACTCTACTCATGTGACCATCAGCACCTACCAGAACAAGTAAGCCTCCTGCTTCCCAACCTCTCATCTTAGGACAGATCTAAGTTAGGGCCCAAAACAGCCACATTTAGGAAGGACCTGAGGGAACTGACCACTGCTTTCCATTCTTTGGTATGTACAGTGTAATGAGTCTGTCTGGATTTCTTCCTGGGGTTGTCATAGTTCACTTTTGGTATTGGATACTAGGGGTGGGGACCCAAAAAGAGAATCCCATTGTTTGCAAAATAAAACTAGTGTTTTGTTTAGTGTGTAACTGATTCCAGTATAGGCTTGTAGTCAAGTGTCTCTTATTTTTTTCTGCCTCACTTTTTTTTTTATTGTAGTATTATACCATGAAATACCTTTATTGTGGTATTATAACATAAAATACCAAAATGAATTATATAATACACCATTTTAAGCATGTCATTTTATTCTACTTTTATATATTTATTGGCATTAATCACATTCAGACAACCATTTCAGACATTTTCAAAACTAATAGAAAGTCTAGAATCCTTGAAACCTCATGTTGTATTTTAGGGGTTTTGCTTTTCACCATCCATTAAGTTAAAGTAGGAAGGGGAAGAGCCAAGTATGTGTGATTAAAAGAAGAAAAAAAAACAGTTCCAGCTAAAATCATGACAAGAAGTAGGTGGCAGTGCTCTGTTATTTTTAACCTTGCTGGTCTAATTCACATTGAAAGATATGAATTATTTGTCAGTTTATTCAGCAGGCAGGTTCTAGACACTGTCTGGGAGTGCAAACATGTAGATGGATCCTTGAGAGAACTGATAGTTGGAGATCATGGTTGGAGGAAGGAAGAAATGTGTAAATAGATTCTAAACTGATAAACTCTGTTGCTGGTTTGTAGAGAGCACAGAGGAATGCTCTTGGCTCAGATGATTTCAGAAATGACTCAAACTCCAAAACTGAGTGAGTCTGAGGATGAATAAAGGTAGGTCAGAGGATCAGTGTAGGAGAGGACATTCCAAGCTCAGGGACATTGTCCCCTCCTACCTTCAAAGCCGTAACTTGTAAAACAAGTTAGGAAGCATGCCTGTTTCCTCATCTGACTCTCAGTGTAAAATTTACCCTCTGTGTTGAAGAGGCTTACTGGAGGAACTAGCTGGACTTTCCTTGAGGTTAGTACTGCCTTTGCCCACAAATGGAAAATTCAAGCCTGTATTAGGCTTCTAGTTTGAAAAATGCTGTGGCTAATTAAGTTCTTTGAAGAGTGAAGAACAGAAAGACTCCGAGGTCCTTGAAGGAGAACAGGGGCAATTGCAGGAGTGAGTCATAGGAAAGATAGTAGGGCCGGGCCACAGAGAATGGGAGCCAGAAGTTCACTCTGTTCACAGCAGCTCTGGACCTTGGCAGGCACCGGGAACATGAATGCATTTCTGCTGTCCTACCATTAGTGCTACTCAACTGTCCCCTCATTCCTGTTACTGTCACCAGTGGATTTCTTGTTTTGGTGTTTTTTTTTCCTTTCTCAGTTTTTGTGTACTCATAATGGTGGCTCATTGTAAGTTGCTTCTCTGACTCCCCTCTGTGTCATTAAACCTATTATCTTGTACTTCTATTGCTAATTTCATACTTCACTCTGATGGGCCGTCCATGGGCCCCGCCTAACACTTCACCATCAGCCAGAGCTAGGAAAGAGCTTCTTAATTTACTGATGTTTCCCAATGTCTTTAAGTGGGCATTATGACTGATGCATCTAGGCTGGACATGTCTGACTTGTTTAGGTGATGATCCAGCATCCAGAATAATGTAACTCAAGATGGGAAAAGTATAATTTGAGAGTCCTTACTTTCTGGGGATTTTCTTATGTTCCTTCAGACACTGGTAGTATAAGGACTGACAGCTTCTTCCTAACACTTCTCAAGGCTTCATTGGGCATGCCCATAGCAGTTTAATTTTTTTTTAAATCAAACTGATAACTTCAAAGGTGTTATTCTTACATTTTGGAAAGGCCAAAGATGTATTCTGACTCTTGGGAAAGCACTGTAAATCCATGAGCTGTTGCCATGTAATTTCCCCTTAGAACCTTGCAGAGGAAGCATGCCTATTTTGCTGCTCAGAAATCTGCATGTGTTGTTGTCCATGATCAAATTCAATAAAAGACACAAGGTCAGATGTGGCATTAACTCACCAATCAGTGAGGCCACCAGGTAGTGGTAGTGGGGAAACGTCTTATCTCAAGAGGCTTTTGTCCTTCTTTGCCCCTTCTCTAGGAGGGAAACAAAAGCAAGCAGTGTTTGAAGAGATCAGTCTCAGTCTTACAGAATGTTTCTTACATGCACTGACACATAGTTAGGAAGAGTGATTTCTCCTTACTCTAGAGGAAGCAAAGTAAACTGGGCACTGACACTTATCTCTAGACAGTATTTTTGGCCACTGGCTTTCAACTTCTACTTAAATCATACCATTGCTAGGAAAGTAGTATTTTTTTCTGAATGGTGGTTGTTGGTGGATATTTTACAGAGGAACAATTTTCCTTATAAGTAATAAAGGAATATGTGTTATTTAACCATTTGTGTACTCCAGAGATCTTACTATTAAGAAATGTATTATGATTTGACTTATTGTACAGAAATGAGAATAAAAATATTTTAAGTCCTTTAATGGTTGTTACAATTTCCTAGAAGCCTGTCCACATAGACACTTGTTTTCAGTTTGGCCCCTAGGGCTTCCTGATTGATGATATTGATTTTCTGGTTCTAGTTCATGGGGAGACTTCCTTTTGGACACCATTTCAGGGCTTGTGTTTGATACTTTAAAGGAAGATATGGACTTACGGACTGGAATACCCCGACAGCTGCTCATGGTAAGGAACAAAGACAGGTAGGAGTGAAGGGTGGCAGGTACAGCCAAAGCCAGCTCAGATCCTTCCTCTAATGGACCCCAGGATCTTACTTTCCCTACAAGCCAAACTTCTCTGATGTGTGACCTGTGAGATTTCCACGAGTGCTGCCTCATATAGTGCATCCAGAGACTGCTGTACAAATGGCTCTTTCTGTATTTCACAGTGACAGTAGTAGGACATGAAAATAGCTGAAGAAATAAACGTGACCCTGAGAACTCTTTTGTTCAATTCATATGATTACTAGTTAGAATAGAGACCCACTTGGTCAGTTCCCTGTTCTTTTTTTTTGGTATTTTCTTTCTTGTTCTTGTTTTGGCATTTTGGAAAAGAGTACGAGGTGGTTAGGTGGAGTGAGTTAGAGCTGAGCACTTTCTGAGGCAATCACCTTACAGTAGTGAGTGACTAATTTTCCAAAGGCAGAGTCCAGGATTTCTCTTTCTAGGCACAGTCCTAACAAATGAATAATAAGTAGCATATAATGACTGCTGATTTGCCAGGAAAGTAATGGGATGTGTTGCTAAGGTCCTCATTGTGCCTGTACTCCTTGGAATGACAAAGATTGATATCTAATGTGGTAGTGGGTGTTAGACTAAGCACACTGTAGTGGAGACTGACTTGGGTAATCATTCTGCTGGAGTCTGAGCTATGACTCATTTCTCTTTCTAGCAGGTGGAACCTACAACTGTGGCAACAAAAAGATTAAGTGGCTTCTTGAGGGTTCTTGCAGACCGGCTGGAGGGCACAAAAGAACTGCTATCATCAGACATGAAGAAGGATTTTGTTATGCACAGACTCCCCCCTTACCATGCAGGAGAGGGAACAGAGCTGTTGACGCCAGGTAGAGCTTGCTGTTTTCTTCTGGGTGGTCAGGGATAGTGGGGGGATGGTAGAGATTTTCCTGCTAGATTCTTCTTTGAGTGGAAGAAAACTGAAAGGCATTTTCGTATTAATGTTGACCTAAGTCTAACCTTAGTATATGTGGCTGGACGAGGCATAATGTGTTCATTAGTGTGCTGCACTTCTCAAGTTCTTTGCAGAGAACTTATATCCCAATACAATGGGAAATAAGAGACCTGTGCTTTGGGCATGAGAAATAGGTGTACTTATTGTTTACTCTGTTCATCATAAGACGTTTTTAGAACTCGAATATGGAAATAATCCTGTTGCAACTAAGGCAAGCGTGGGTAAAATGTCATTATCAGATGAAATACAAGAATGTCAAGGTTATTATCACTGACCTTCCAAGTTGATGACGAATTTATGACAGGATCAGGTTGTCAGTACCCATCTGTAGGTCAATGTTCTTTAGCAAAGGCCACCAATTCACAGTGGTATATATGCCTTGTTGGAGTGGGAAAGACTGCAGGCCATTGGGGACTATCAAGCCTCTCAATAAAGGGAGTTAGAAAGGATTTACAGGATATGGGCTTATGTGGATTTTATTGAGGGCTCAATAGAGGAAGACACTGCTCTAGATGGACTCTGTTAAGAAGCTGGATTCTGTGACTGGATCTCCTCTCTTAAATTTGTCTAGTGGGTAGGAGGAAGGTAAGATCCTAAATTACTATAGATAAACAACAGCACCATTTAGTAGCAGGGCCTATGGATGGCTCCTTAGCCTGACTTCACATGTCAATGTTAGTGGTGCTTTTTTGTTGTTGTTTTGAACTCTCGTGGTCACAAAGAACTCTTGTCTGACACTGGTATTCTGGGCAACTGTTCAACAGGAACATGCCAAGACCTGGCTGTGACTGCCAGCAAGCTATCAAGCTGCTTTTCTCTTTGTCAGTAGAGAGAAAGGAATAATTACCTTATCACCAGGTGGGAACCACTATAATAACAAAATTTATAATGTCCTTTCTTTTTTTTTTCTTTGTTGTGGTTTGGCTGTACTGGGATTTGATCTAAGGGCTTTGTGCTTGCTGGACAGTTGCTGGCTACCATTTGAGTCACACAGCCAATTTTGCTTTATTTTTCAAATAGGTTCACCTGAACTTCAGGCCTACAAAAGTGGGATGACAGATATATGCCACCACACCCAGAGGTCATTGGTTGAGATTGGAGAGTCTTGAAAATTTCTTACTGGGCTGGCCTTGAATAGGTCCTAAGTAGCTAGGATTATAGGTGTGAGCTACCATACTTCGCCCTTTTTATTTTTTGTTTTGAGACAGGATCTCATTGTGTAGCCTAGGCTGGCTTGAAACTCAATCTTCTCTCCCCCTGTATCTACCACCAGGGGTATCCAAAGTCCCTTAAAAAACACAATTCAGTATACACTTCATTACAGCCTTTGAAGGAAGTTTAGAATTTCTTTTGGATTGCATCTGTTCAAAATAGCCAGTATTTTACTAGTATTGTTTTAATCTATCACAAAATAGAACTTGATAGATTTCAGATTATGGCCTAGAATGTTTTATATGCTGATTTTCCTGTCTTAGCCACTGTGTTCAGTAATGTTGTAATCTCTTAGGACTCTTTCCCCACCAGGATGACCCTGTAAAGTGAATAGATATTTACTGGCTGCTTTTTTGCAAAGTTAAATCCACTTAAGAAAAGGGTATACTTTTTATTACATGGCATCTATAAGGCACTATGCTTGGGCTACATAGACTGAATAATTTGCTAGGGTCGCCCATCTAGTTATTGGTGGGATGGTATAATTTGAACTCAAGTAATCTTACCACATATAGTCTTACTATAGAGGATAGAAACTTGGACACCTGCATTCTGTGCAAAAGGCAAAAAGGTCCTATCTGTTGAGTTACTATAGATACTATACTATTGTGCTACAATAGAATTTATCCCTGTTGAATGTACTTCATAATTTAATTATTAGACTAATTGCATGTCTGTCTTCACTGTAAGACTGAGCTCCATGAACTTACCTACTATTCATTTAACATTGCTAGAAATGTTGAGGTACAGAAGAGTAGGAAAGGCAACCTATATTTGGGGTTGCCTGCAGACTCTCAGTAAAAGTGTTGCTAAGGAGTTTTACTTGCAAGCAAATTCGAACCTTCTGGTCTCCTTTTTTGATGGCTGGGCTTTCTCTTTTGGGTTGTCTAGATGGAAAGTTACCAAAGTTGGACAGTACAGTGAGACTACAGTTCAGAGATCACATAGTCCTCACTGTCGGACCAGATCAGAATCCATCTGTGAGTATCCAGAGGGGAAGTGATTTCTACTTTTCTGGTTTTTTTCTTCATGGGACTCAGGTTATCAGAAGTACCATTCTCCCTTGAGAATTCATCTGTGTTCATAGTTGAGTGTCATTGTGGTCAGTGCTCAAATGTCATTGTGGTAGTTCTAGTTTTCCTACCTATGGGGTATTCGAGTGTGAAGGTTTTGCCTCATTCCCAAAGTGCTTTCTTCATTCTCTTTAGGCACACGGAAGTCTTCCTATTCTACTGCAAGCTATAGTACTCTTGCTCAAATAATTCCAGGCCTTGTTTCCAAACTTTTCTCCTTTATTCCCCCTATGTTCCTCTGCACTATACAGGTCTATTTTTATATGTGGTTTTATTTTATTTTCCTCCTTAAGTTCTATCCCTGTAGATCATGTGAAACAAAATGTACATTCCGTTATATTGCTGCCTAGCTCAAGTGATTCCCTAAACTGGCAATTCAATGTTCAGTCAACTGACAAAGCTTTCTAAAATTATGAATACCTAGACTTCATCTTACCAAAGTTGGAACCTCTGCATTTATGGCTTTTGAGAGGTCCCTGTACAATAGCTAGGACCCTTGGAACTATCCAGTGCCTAACTTTCATTAGTTCCTCCTAATCAAGTTCTCTTAGTAGGTTCTCTTGATGAGCAATCCATGAAGGACTGAGGGACACTTTTCTCCCTAAGCAGATATAAGCTCAGAGTACCACTCTTGCTTTGTTTCATTAAAAAAAAAAAAATCTTGGTTTTCCTGATAACCAATCCATTTGAGACATCGGATATCAGACCCAAGCCCCTTACCTTAAGAGTTAACAGCAATGACAAAAGGTTCTTAAAAGGTAATAAATTGTGCCCTGTTAAAGACATACATCATACTCTTGACAATGTTTTTTCTGTTTTAAACAATGACTTGAGTGCTCTTACCTACTTCATACAAGTGGTAGCTTGTATTGACTAGTTATCAATGGGATATACATGTATGCCATGACTTTTTGCCCAAAGCATTGCTTATCATATCAAACTATTTTCACTTGAGCACCAGGCTTTTAAGATTTTCCTTGCTGTTGATCTACTGAAAAACTATTACTGAAACCCTCAATATTTTGTGGTTGATGATTAATCCTTTTTCTTTTTTAAAGGATGAAGCTCAACAAAAAATGGTTTATCTCTATCATTCTCTAAAGAATAGGAGAGACACACACATGATGGGAAGTGAGGAGGAAACAGAGGTTTGTTTCAACTGAAAATGTCTATCCTGTGGCTTGGGTAGTAACTGGGAAGAATTTATTTTGGTTCACAGATAGTGTATATAATCAGACTGCAGTGTGGGCTTACCAGTTCACATGCCTGATAGAACCCTTGCATGGAGATGACTGAGTTCTGTGCTATACATCTGCCAGCTTCCAAACATATTGTCTGGGATCTTACAGGAAAGGGATGGGAAATGAGCAGCATTTTAAATGACAACTTAAAAATAAAATGCTGTTTATACTTAGCTTACTTATGCTAGTTAGCAACTTTTATAAAGTAAATAGCCTAACTGAAACATCTTGCATATTTACAAAGGATATAAAATCGTATATTGAGGATTTTGGAAGTTTCCATGGAAGTACCACTTGAATGAAATAATCTTTTTGAACCAACTTACCCTTTTTTTAGTTTCATGGACTTCGCTTTCCTTTATCACATGTGAATGCACTGAAGCAAATTTGGAGCAGTTCAGCTATTTCTGTCAAGGACCTGCAACTCAGCACAGATGAGGAAAAGGAGAGCCTGGTGTTATCCCTCTGGACAGAATGCTTAATCCAAGTCATATAATGCCTGCACAGAAGCAAATTGGATTCTGCTGTATTCTGAGCGTGTAAAGAAGACGTAATGCCTGTTGCTGTGTGTCAACACTTAGGGCAGGAATACACATAGCAGCCAAAGAGGAAAAGGCATTCGTTCTTACGTGCGTATGTGCTGTACTAATAGACACATGAGAGAGAAATCTGCAACTTACTAAGTTACCCAAAATGTGACAAAGCCATACTTTTGATGAGTTTATTTAATCCAGTGTGGTAGAAAAGGCACAACTCCAATAAATGTATTGTGTAGAATAAATGTCATTAACCTGGCTTTGTTTTTGTTCTTTGGAAGAAACATTGTTTAAAGAGCCTCCATTGCTCTAAAAAACTTTTTTAACAATTAACATGAAGAAAGTTGTTTACAGTGCAAATATACATACCTTGTGTATACACAAGCCCCCACCCCTTTGTTAAAATACTTCTGTAACATAAGTTTCATTAAATAATACTGCCATACTCATGAGAGGCACTCAAAATCTGTGGACATAGGAATTTTCAAATGTTGCTTAAAAGATGACAACAGCCTGAGATTGAAGAAGAACAAACACCCAGTATTCATAGGGAAAGAACAAGTCTATAAAAGCTCTGAGTAGTGGGTGTTCTAGTTCAGATTAATCACTGTTACTTTGGGTTCTAAAGTGCACAGCAGTTGATATTCTTAAAAATATGACTGGAGAATTTAATCCTCTGTATAAAAAAATAGAGCATTTTCCTTCCTGGCAAAAGTTAAGAATGAAACTAACAGTTGTCTCATGTTAAGTATAAGTCCAACCCAGGAAAGAAAATATTGTGCTGCTGAAGGTAGTGACAGATTACTGGAAATAAAACCAAAGATGCTTTCCTGATTTTGTTGAGCTGTTAAACTATTAAAAATGGGAGTGAAATTTAGTTTTCTGCCACTGAACAGAAATTGACTGTCTTTACTAAGATGGTAAGGTCAACAAACAAAGCTCAAAAGCTCCCTTCAGTTTGAACATACAGATTGCATTCCTTTTACTTCAGGCAAAGAAAGAAAAAATTGACTGGTAAGGGCAAATTGGATGAGGTCTCAGCACCTGGACAGGTGACTGTTGTTAAGGAAATTGTCACCTTGAGGGACATCTTGTTAAAGCCGGTGTACAAGCTGGGTGCTCTACAGTTTGAAACTAGTTTGAAACAAGGGAATAGAGAACCATGACAGGAAATACTCCATTATGGATGCCTTTCACCTAACAAAGCCAAGGTCACTTTTTGGAGCCAGTTAAAAGTATAAATACTTAGGCATTTTAATTATAAAGCTTCAATACAGAAACTTCAAATACATAGCAGCTTAATAGGCAAGCTTACTAAATATACTTTCAAATGTTACTAAGGAATTATTAATCTTTTTGTAAAAGTAGGACAACCTGTAGGAGTGTACTTCCCTGTGCTTAGTCCTTTCAGGAGTGGTTAATGGTAGAAAAACTTAAGACAGCTGGCATCACCTATAATGGGCCAATGGAGTCATGTTTGATGGTTAGGAGAGAAAATACTGGCTTCAGGAAACTTGATCACTTACAACTGAAAATTCTAACATTTTTCGTCATAGGAACACTGAATAGTTGGTAAGAATATTTTGAGCTTTTCCATTGTTATAGGAAAAAGTTCCTTCCACTTAGTGGTCCAGTAGCGTGAGGGCACATTTGCTTCCTTTCCATCTGTGCAGGAAGATGAGGGAAGTGAGGTTCCATTGCACTTTGTAGAGATCGTGTTGACTCACAATATTTCAATGTCCCATATCTGTGTTTCTTCTCCCTCCAGGGGATGATTTATAATGACATGAGCCTTGTCATAATAACTTCCTCCTGCAATAGAAATTCCAGAAGAAAAGATTATTTGTTCTCTTAGGTGCCAAGCAACTTCACAGTTTTCATAAGCTTTTGTTCAGCTCACTGTATATGTAGCTGAATATGTCATTTACAAAGCAGCCTCAAATGGGAAACTGACGTTGAACAGGAATATCATTATTCACCTCAAAATGGACAGTAATTATGACTCACACTGAAACACCAACAGGTATAATATACATGGCTATAGAAGCAATATGCCCCACTAATGCCATTCTTCAGAATAAAGTGTTTTGAGAGAACTCTGGTTGAATGTCAAGGTACTGTGTTTGTTTCTAAATCAACTGAGGCTGTGACTAAACCAGTTAAGTGCAATCCTGACCTTGATGCATTAAAAAAACGGGGTTAGTCGATTCCTTGCCACAAATCTTAACTGAGGCCTTTTTAAGGACCATGGCAATTTAAGTTTTACTGTTTTTCCTAATAAACAGATGGCATTCATTTTATGGTTTCTGATGTTCCAAATTTACAGTTGTTAAATTTGCAAAATTATTTGTTACAAATGAAAACTTTACAACTGTATTAGGGAAATGTACAAAAAAACTTTAAGGCTTTTTTTTTTTTGCTACTTCATTCTCATAACTATTATTCTTGTAAAATTGCACACCTATTTTTTTTTCCAAGAGTAGCTGAAAAAAGTTTACATAAAATCTTCTCATTAGAATGTCCTTTATGAAGAGGTTCAGAACTCAAAACTGACACATAATATTAGGTATTACCAAAGGCCCACCTTTTACATCCAGGACAAGTTGATCACTGAGATAAGAGCTGATGGTTCCATTTTTATTCAATTTCCATTTCTGCCTGAATTGACCATGCTCAGTCCATAGGGCTACTTTAGCTCCAGGTGTATCTCGGCCCCCAATCACGTCAAGGCATGTATCACTAGCCTAGAGTAGTTAATAAATAAAATGGCAGTAATGCGTTTGCAAAAGTGAATTGAATAGGGTCACTTTTTTTTTTTAGGGTCACTTTTCTATCAGGCAAAAGTCCTAGACATTAAGCTGTCACTGTTTCTGACACTGTCTTAAAGAATAAATTCAGTATAATTTCAATAAGCCTTTTAAAAAATCTATTCTCAGCTGGGTACTGGTGGCTTTTGCCTGTAATCCTAACTACTCAGGAGGCTGAAATCTGAGAATTGCAGTTCAAAGCTAGCTGGGGCAGCAAAGTCTATGACAGCTCCAATTAAAAACCGAAAGTGGTGCAGTGGCTCAGAGTGGTAGAATGCTAGCCTTGTGCAAAAAGAGCTCAGGGATAGCATCCAGGTGCTGAGTTCACGCCCCATAACTAACCCCCCCCCCCCCAAAAAAAAAATCTACAGAAACAGAAATAGAGGCAATGTATTTGTTTGAAAAAGGACACGTGTATCTGACAACAGATGTTTGGTAATGGTTTTTTGAGTTGAGATTAAATGTTAAAGCCTTGTTAGCTTTAGAGGTATTATGTCTAGCTTTAGTTTTCTATTTAAAAAATGGATAATGCTAAAGATATCCAGACAGTAATTACATTTAATTACAGTTTGAAGCAGAAGTAGATAAACCATTGGTGATACAACACAGTTTAAATTTTTTTTGACTAGTGCAGTATCCTCCAGAGCATCAAGCACAAAATTTCATTTTTAAGCTTCTTCTAATAGGCTTCTAATAAGCTGCTTCTACTACTAACTATATTTGAAAGAGTTTTGACATGTTTGGAATAGCAAAGACAGATTTTATTCGGACTATCAAGTTAGAAACATCCAATTCAAATCCAGTAACTTAGCAAAATTGGTTTGAAAAAAATCATTAATGCATATCTGTAGTATGGGAGAATACACATCAGCATTTTTATGATCATAAGAGTGACCTATTTGTAGGAAGTTGCACTGATTCTTTCTAGGAAGTTGCTAGTTGATTTGGCAATATTCTAGTTTCTTGAAAAAAAGATTAAAAAGCCAAACATTAGAAAGTGAAGTTCCCTGTGGGTGGGATTGCTTACCTTGGATTTAAAGAGTCCTCTACAGTAGTGCCAGATCTGAGTGTCCTTTCCATTATAGGGAGAGATGCACACAGACATCGCCCTGGTATCAGCCAGATTTCCAGTCACTGTCAGATACTTATCCTGGGCTCGGTTCTTTATTCTAATGTACACTGCAGGCTATGAATGGAGAAACAGCCATTTAGAAACAGCCTTTCCTATCTGAAATCAGTCCTTCCAGAGGCCAGCTTGAAGGAAGTAAGAGATGACTAACTTATTCTGTCCGTTTTGCACTCATTTCTTTTAGCTAATATGTATACATTAATATTTTCTACTGATAAATACTGAGACTATTGGGCCATATAGTCTATTACACTGTTGAAAAGTAAAAGTTTCACTTCCAAGAACTCAAGCTGGGAATAGTGGTGAAAATTAGGGATTTGAAAGCTTTAATGTTTCAGCTCTTCTTAGGAAGGAAAGGATGGGGCCGAAAGACACAGCCTAAATATATCTTACAGTAACATTGGAAAGACAAGAACAGTAGTCAGACATGCTGTCTTTGAGCTGTGATTACAAGACGATGTTTTTGTGGCTTTGTATGTCCCTCCCCCACAGCATAACCTCTGTTTTCACTGTATTTGATGTTGCTATAATTTGGGGAGGGGAAGGGAAAAAATTGTTTAAACAGGGATACAGGTGGACACATTGCAACAATGAGATGTACAAGATGTTATATTGAAAAACGAACTTTATAACTTGGGCCAGGGGGGCAGGGAGGGCTGGGGAGGGAGATACGGGATGGCAGGGATGGGAAGGGGAAACAAAGGAGGGAGGAGGCAACAATGCTTGGTAAGAAATGTATTCATTACCTTGCTCATGTAATTGCAACCCCTCTGTACGGAATTCTCACAATAAAAAAAACTTACAGTAAAAAAAGACAGAATAAGAGACTAGTTCTAAGAGTGTCAATGTTAAATTCATTCAACCTGTGGTTCAGCCTTCCAGCCCTAATGTAATGAGACACAAGACACCAGTAACTCCTCTATCCTTTGATTGAGTATTGACATTCCTGCCAGGACTTGTGCTAAATAATAACAAATGAATAATAAGAGAACACTTTTACTCTAAGAAACTTGTGTAATTGCAACATGCTATGGTGAGAGTAATGAATATCTTATTTTGAAATACATGGTACATCAACTTGAAGCTAGTTAAGTTTTAGTGAATTGCTACCGTGATTAGCACTCCTAAGAAGACTCACTTTCTGAGCATTCAAATTAGCAAACAGAAGGGAAATTTGGTTATTTGAATTGGTGAACAGGACCTGTATATGGCAATGTGTCTTAAATGTGGACTACTACTTTCACATTCAAAATGCAGAAAGATGTACTTAAAGGTCTACAATTCAGCCTGCTCTCCCACCGGAGCTATTACTAATTCTTGAGG